ACTACTGGCAACAAGACAGTCATATTAGCAGTAATACATTCCTGTGGCATCAGATTATGCAGAGTGTTTTGAGTTTATGGAGGAGAGACATACCCTCATCTCCCATTAATTACATCCAGTTCAGGAGGAAGAAAAAATAGTAGTTCAGCAGAGATAGAGATTTTTATCTCTAACTCTTTTGCTTCCATCACTACTCTGCTCTTTATCACTTCCTCTTTTTTTTTCTCTTGCCCTCAGATTTCTTTTTAAGGTTATTTGAGGGTACAAGTGATTTGTGTATTCATTCTCATGTACTAGTGTTTTTAAATGGTGACATAATTCTCTGAGTTCAAAGTTTTTTACTTGGAACAATTATGTTTTTGTGCCCATGTGCCAGTCTAGATGACATGATAGGACCAACAATTCAAATCTCAAATGAAAAGAGGTTGATTATGCCTTACAGATATAGCTAAGTATATCCAGTACTGTGCACTTCTTGCATATTTTAAATTCACAAACACAGTATAATTGTTTGACCATTTTAAACATAAAAGGCTGTCAACATTTGGAGTTCTGTAAAAATATGCAGTGCAAGAGAAATGGACTTGGAAATGAATAAATCGAATTCCAAAGCTTTCAATTTATAAGCACATTTGTAAGGATTTCCAAACAAAGGATAAATACTTGAACAGTCTTATTTTCTCCCCTAAGGGTTCTCACTGCATTTATTAAAAGAATTACAAAAGCAACAATATGAGAGAAGGGAAGAAAAAAAAAAGAGAGAGAGAGAAAACTTGTTGGGCACTAACTGGGAAACTAAACGCTTTAAAGTCAGCAGTTTGGAGCACATTTGAAAAATGTGTTTTGACACAATGAACTTTTGGATGGAGGCCATGCACGCAAATGACTGTATTACACAGATGTTGGGAGACTCTCTCTCCAGTGTTTACCACAGTTTCCAGTAGAAATGTTTAATAAAGTTTCTTACCTCTTGGAGGATCAGGAGAAGGGAAGCAATCTTCCTCCTCTGTGTGAAAGCTCACATATGTACTCAAGGCAACTTATTTTCCCTTGATGTTAACCCTCAGGAGTATATATAACACATGTTTTTTATAGATATACATATACAAATATACATATACAATTCATGTATATTATATATAGGTGTCATAATTTCACTTAATACATTGCTTGTTGAGAAGAAAAGTGAAATATTAGATAGAGCTATTAGCTTTTTACTTCTAAGTGAACATAAATATCTTTCAAACTTCTTTCAAAACGAAGGAGTTTCAAGGTAAGCCCCATTGCCATGCATTTCCCAGGGATCAGGAGCATACATACAGATAGCTACTGCAGTTCAGTTGACAGGCAATAACTTGTTAAATTATTGTGGCCTGAGGATATGTCTGTGCCCTTATTCTTCTCAAGCTAAGATTGACTTGAACCCATAAGAAAGCATAAAGGTAATGGGCAAGAACCTTTTTATATAGGGAAATACTTTTTTCCCCTCTCTTCACCAGTAGTAGCCATATTCAGGAGTTAAAGCACAACATTTGGTTTACTTTTGGATCCTATTTTCAGTCCTGATTTTAACAGGTGGTTTTGTCCAATATTGCCACATTATTACTACTTAAGTGTAGTTTTTATTAACTCTCTTCTTATTGGATAAACCCCTTGTGGGTTAACTCTGAATTGATGTGATAACAGTAGTTTTCACAGAAAGCCCAAACATAGAATTCTGCATTTTTCCTCCTTATCTTTGGTAAGTATTTATTGTATCCATGGAAGGAACAAAAAACGTTGCTTGTTCTGTTTTCAGATGGTTAATCTACCAGAGAAAATTTTCTTTTAGTCACAGTGATTCCAGTAGTGACTGTAACTAATCATGGTTCTAAGAAAAAATACTAAGAAAATAAACATGAAGGAAACGATAAAGGATGTCTTTTTACATTTTGTCCAGTCTCTGGTTGTTTGGTATAATTGGATGAAAATTCAGCTATTCCCTTTATTGGCAGACCTTATAGTGATACAGCTGGGATTCACATGTTCTGTCTTTCCAGTGTTATTCCTATTTAACCATCTAGGATTAACAAAAACTTTGCTTTTAAGAAGCACACTTTTGCATAAACTGAGATTAGCATGGACTATTGGTTAGTCAAGGAAAGAATGTATATTTAGGCTTATACTTCAAAGTTATGCAAGAGGCAGTCTGATATTTTGGGTAATTCTTTAACATTTAGCACAATTCCGAAATATGTTGAAACTAAGACTTAGAAAATGAAATCTGAGAAAATGAAATGTTGCATTATTTTTGAAATGCCTAGTATGCAGATGCTTTCAAAGATCATAAAACAGCAGGCACCTCCTCCCTCCTTTCTTAACGTATCACTTCCAGTTTATAAACCATTTAGTTAAAAATTTAAATTTAATCATGTGCCTGAGCCCCGTAGATGTAAATGCTGGTTTAAAGTTTAACACATCCTTGCTTATGAAATGGGACATTAAGTCTGTGAGTCTGGAGAGACTTTTTGAAAATGGATAAATATCTGAATAACATTGAAGGCAGAGTTCAGTGATGCCCAGCGGGCCACTATTACAATAGCAATCCACTACTGAAATGTTGCTCTCTGCAGGGAAGATCACTATCACTGTAATTAGAACTGCAGCACATTGGGCTGCTCCTAGTACCTTTTCTCAAAAGGTCTTTGAAGGTGAAGATGAGTGGTAGACATTCTCAGGAATAGAAGGTTGCTTTCTCAAGCTTTAAGAAATAATTCAACCAAATAAAATAAATCTTAAATAGCCAAATGGCTAAACTACTTTCATTTTTTTTCCTCAGAATATTTAAAAGGAAATTGCTGTATTTCTGGAGGGTTTGACTGTTGCTAATGAGCACCATGAGAAATAAATATTATTTGTAGTTTCTGAGAATTAAACACAGTATGTAGTTTCATTTGTAGATAGATGCATATGAGGGCAAATGAAAAAACACAAGTAAAATAGTCCAACCTTTGGTGATCTTATTCTATTTTTGCTTTCAAAATTAACAATAATTTTGTTCTACTCATTATGCAGACTTCAGTTCTAAAAATTCATTAGGACTTTTAGGAGGTGCACTGACACAGGTAGGTATATCGACATGAGAAATGTTTGAAGACATTCTGATCAATTAATGATCCGTTAATATCATTAGTGTTTTTTATTGACTCATTTGTAAGGATTTGTCTATGCTGTCCTTAACCTTCTAAAGACAAGATCAGGGTAGTGAACAAAATTGGCAACCTGACAGCAAAATAGACTCCCTGATTCTCATACAAGCTAGCAAATGTTACTGTATAGATAGCTTTTTATATATATATAGTTTTGCTACTTTTCACAGAATTATATCCTGGAACTTTACAGATCAGGCAGAAAGTGCTGCAGTCCGTTAAAACCTGAAACTACTGCTACAAGAATCCTAGAAACTGAGTGAAAAGTGTTTATCTGTGGAGGATTGTAATGACCCTGCCGAGAGAGGGTTTCAAGTAATGCAGAAAAGATTACAGTGCTGGTCGTGTGGCGGTGTTTGTTTATTTATTATTTATTTAATAACAACATTGATGATTTGGGAAGCAGATCAGAGTACTTAGCTCCATGAATAATAGGGATTAAGGAAAAACATCAGGGGTAAGAGAGGCAATAATTCTCTAAACTAACAAGGAAAAGTACCTCTAACTGTGAACTGGAAGTAGGAAGAGCATTTATATCCTTATTTGAAATACAAATAATAGATAGATAGATAATCTGCCGTAATAATGAAAATGCTAAAGCACTATGAAGAGTTTCAAAATGCAGTTCCAGTTCATGTAGGAACTTTAGCTTCTTTACTGACTTGAATTTTGATGCTATATTTTAATAACCTAATCCCATTTGGCAAGTTACAACGATGTGGAAAACCTGCTCTAACTTTGCATTCTACAGCTTTGATCTTACGGTAGAACATAGTACTACAAAACAAAGGTAAATAGAAATATTAGAGCAGGTAATATTAAGTTATGACAGCAGAGATAATTTCTCAGGTTTTAATCAAGGATATTCTGGGGGAAGAAGGCACATTTAAATTATTTTCTTAAGTCAATAAAATGTAGATTGTGTTTTTTTAAAAAAACTTGCTGCAATGGAAATACCCATATTTTTGTCCTTTTTCTCATTAATGTAGAATTAATCTCATTCAGTTTAGATTGAAACAGATCATAGAAGATGACCTATCAGGATTAGGAAATTATCTTAAAAAAAAAAAAAACACTATTCATAATTTTATCTAGCTTCAATAGGTGCAGTTAGATTTCTGATGTCTATAGTACTCGTATCTTTTACACTTGAAACAATGTTTTTCAAAGCTGCAGATGTTATTTGTATTCTCAGTGGAAATCCTAGATTTCATGTGAAAAATTACCATGGTGCCATAACATAGGCAACAAAGCAAAAGTCCTGTGCCACGTGCTCTAGGTGACCCTGCATGTGCAGGAGGTTGGACTAGGTGACCTCTAGAGGTCCCTTCCAACCTTAAGCATTCTATCACAGTCTATGAAAATGGTACCTTTGATAGCATCTGTGGGCCTCTTGGTTCTTAGAAAGCATCTTTTTTAAGCAAAGTTCATGTAATTGTGACTCCCTCTTGTGGATAGCTTCTCAGCTCTGCAGCGGGATGTGTTCTCAATGTTAAAAATCATCGATTAAAACCTGAGAGATCTCTGTTTTCATGGTGAAGAGCTGATTCTTCATAGACGGTCAGAGTGCTCTTGCATGCATCTTTGCTTATTAAGCATTCATTTAGTGATCCATTTTTTTAAAAAGACCTTTTCATAATACATTTGCTGATAAAAATCTATATATAAATATATATATGCACAACTCATGTCTATAGCTTAGTAAATGGAACATCCTTTTTTCCTATGCTAAGAACCTAATTGTATTTTCTAGCCTTATCCATTGCTAAGACTTTTACATCCTGTCTTAGTTATTGTATAATTTTATTTCAGGTTCCACCAAAGTAAACCTTGTGAAGATCCCATCAACAGCTTCCAGTCCTCGAGACACGGCTCTAGCAGCTGTTATCTGCAGTGCACTTGCCACAGTGCTCTTAGCTCTTCTTATTCTTTGTGTTATTTACTGCAAGAGGCAGTTTATGGAGAAGAAACCAAGCTGTAAGTTTCCAGCTACTACTGTTTCTTTGTAATAATTGCTTCCCAGTATTAGTTTGGCAAATCTTTTTGTAAATGAATGAATGAAGTGGAGGATCAATATATGTACAGCATTCAGGGAATTTAGCATTGATATGAGCTAGCTAGCACAAGCCTAAGACTATATAAATTCATATGGCAGCTCAGTGTGGATGTTCCAGCTTCTACTGAGAAACCTCTTTGCAGATGTCCCAATATAGTCCAGCTGCATTGATTCTGCCCCACACGCTCTTAGAGCCTGCTGACAGGTAATGTTTGGGCCGTTTGGGATCTAAGCTGGAATAGCACAGAACTGCAAAGCATATGTGAACGTGCCAATTTGGCGGATCTCTGCCTCACGTTCCATTGCAAAATGTAGATTATCTCAATGAGATGATGAATGTGGTCCAAGGAGATAGGTCCATCATTAATCCAATCTACTCCAGTTGCAGTTGTAAAGTGAAAAACAAAAAAAGCCACCTTCTCAATGTAATTTACATATTGTTTTAAATAAACAATACTTCAGGTCTTCGTTTTAAATTAAAAAGTAAAAAACTGAAAAGCAGTCTAGTTCCTATTCATCATTTTAAAATCTTTTTTTAAAAAAAAATGATAATATTTAACAAATCCTGGATGTCAAAGAAGAGTATCAACATGGAGAAATTGCTGTTATCATTACTTGCAGTACAAGCAAAAATACCAAGATTCATAGAAGTATTGTGCCTAATGTAGGAGATGCTTTACAATGTAAGTTTTAAGAAATTTTTACTAAATTTCTTCAGTCTTCACTTAAACTCAGTAGCTAATATGTTTTGACCTACAATTATATAGATTGAAGGAAGTCTGCTGTTAGTACAAAGCTCTTTAAGGTAACATGTACAAAATCTCAGGGGCTGAAAGCTCCATGTAGAAAGTTTCAAAATGGAATTTTCAGAAGCTTCAAGTACTGAGAAAATGTAAGAACTTTCAAATCATCATCAAGATAAGAGCAGATGAACCAGTTGTTCTAGGGTTTGCTACAAAATCTCTGGTTTGCTTTCTGTCAAGCAACACATCATAACAGAGGATCTTTCTGTTTCAAAAGCTTGTGCAAATACTGTACACCGTGCATTTGCGTGTGTTGTATGATTATACAAGACTCTGAACAAGCAAAAAGATGTCATTCACTAACATATATTGTAATTCGTTTTGTCCAAAGGGTCTCTGAGATCACACGATGTTCACTACAATGGTTCCGAGTTGTCATGTTTCGACGGAGCGCGGCTGAACGAGTACGAGCGGCCCGCGTGCTGCGGGTGCCAGCGAGGCGCCTCCCCGACGTGCGGTACGCGGCCCTGCAGCCCTAAATCGAGATGAACCGTCTGCCAGACAATCTCAAAATGGAATAATATCCCCAAAACTCACTGAAAACCAGAACAACTTGCATATCAGAACAGACGCATTTATGACATTGACTAACATATACTTTAACACAAGGGCATGGGTTGAAATATCATCCTGCTGCATTAACCTTCAAAGTGTGGTACTTCCTATGTACTTAAATGACAAATAAATTAGGAAGTAGTTATTTAAATTATCAGACTGCCATCTGTATTATTCTTAAGTTAAAGACTTGCCTTTTTTAGGTAACTCCATTTTAAAGTAATAAATGAAATAACTCTTTTTTACTATAAGAAAAATCTTGTAATTTTATAATATAATGTAACTGGTAAAATAATACATTTTCAAGAGTTTAGAGAAACTACATTTGCACAAAGCTTTTAGTGAATTTTACATTATTAAATTGAGTTTTATTCTTTAGGACCAGTTCACTTGATTCCGTCATTGTGCTGTGATGAGACCTGCAGCATGGAACCCAGCAGTCACAATTGTGCTTTCCACTCTCAGACTACGCTTAATGAAAGGTACCTTAGTTTAATTAAAGATTAGCTATATGAAATTAGTATTTAGATGGGGTACAGTAAATGTTTGGAGCTGAGTGAAGAATTTAGAGGAATAGCCATCATATCCCTAAGTTTATGGTGAAAAATCTTGCATTAATGAGGAAAAAATATGTATTGTTCCAGTGTTATTTAATAAGTTCTGAGAAGTTAAGTTAGTTTCTCTTAGGAAGTGACTTGATATTACTCCATGCTACTTTAGAGGTTTTGGTGAACCCTCTTCTGACAGAGCAGGATGCAGAGTGTAGCAAAATGCTGTATGATCACATGAATATGGCAGGATTATGGTACACTTTATGAGTATTCTGAAACTTTTATTTTTTAGAAACCCTTAATGACTGTGAGATTTGAAGTACATATAGTAACCCTGAAATTTCTGTCAGAGTGTAACAATTGTTTGCTCCTAATCAGCTGAATGTAAATAGTTATCTATATCAGTTCCATGAGTTAAATGTATAAAATCAATGGCCTCATCCAGAGTTTCCTGGATACAGTGGTTAGCACAGGATGTATTTATTTCTTTTAACTAGACTTGTTTTCCATATAAGATTTAAACTGGTCTCTAGCTGTTCCGTTCTTGTGGCCACATATAACTAAAAATATAGATGCAGCTTCTTAATAGACCTTGCTTATGCAAGGTGGCCTTGTATATTTAGTGACTTAAGTATAAGATGCAAAATATCCGTTTTTTTTTTTTATAATAAATTGTTTAAATGCCAGCAAAGTGAAGTCATCCCTCTGTACCACCCAGACTAACCAACTGAGAGTTGTGCAATTTGTGAGTGGTCTTCTGGTTAGGTCTTTAAAAATAAATGTCATACACATGTTATGCAGACATCAAAGATCTCATAGTTCCTTCCAGTAGAAATGGAGTTTGCTCCAATTTCCTTTGCCAAAATAATGTATTTCCTTCCATTGTGGTTCAGTGTCCTGACTGTTGGCCTCATCTATAAAAATACTTTCTGTATATATCAAAGCTAACGAAGCATCATGTTTTAGAAGTGCAAAAGGCTACTTAAACACGGTTATAAGTACTATTAATGCGGAATGAGTTTTGGGCACACAAATCATTACAGTATATCAGATTTTAAAAATGGACTTTATGGTTTTACTGTGATTTAACTGTTTTTGGAAATAGAACATACTAGTGTAACATTTTTATGTTCTTAATTTTTTTGAGAACAATTCTTAATTAACTGCTTTAAAAACCTTTCCTGAAGTTTCAGTGGAGGCAGGTGTGCACAGTGCACTCAGACACGTCGGGATCATCGTGAGCCTTAAATACACTTGAGTTGGACTGTTGGGTTCCTACTTTCACTTTCTTCTGTTTTGTGTAAAATAAAAATAACCCTTCTAAGAATTAAAAATTCTTGCAATTCTTTAATGTTACGACCTTACTACATGAGAGAGAATTGGAGCAAAACAGATGGAAGTGAAAAACCTGAGATGAATGGACATTCAAAGTGAAATTATGCAGGTGGAAGGGATCTCAAGCAGTCATGTAGTCTATTCCCTTCTCCCAGTTTGGATCCTCTTTACTACTTTTATTCTTGTTAGATATTTATCTAGCCTGTTTTCACAAAGGCTGGTATTGGAGATTCCATAGTCTTCCCAAACGTCTTTGTAGCTGCAATTTAAGCCTGTTACATCTTGCCTTAGCCCCCAACGCCAACACGTGCATTGGAGAACAAATAAATCTCTTCTTCTTTGCAGCGGTATTTTTGTACTGGGGTATTTTTCCATGCCTTTTTTTTTTCTTTTCTTTAGGGTAAACAATGCCAAGTATAGTTCATATTTACAAGAGCCCTGAATTCACAATGCAAAGGACTCCAGTCTTCCTCTCTACCTTTCCCAGTGTTCTCCAGAGCTGTCTGCTCTGGACAGAGCTAAGGGACAACTGTCTTTCCTTTCAAAGTAATTTTTGTACATGCTGCTTCTAGAGTATTGGTTCCATATACCTCATTTTATCATGTTGATATACCTGTCATTACTAATGACAGAAATTACAGTATTGGTAATATTTTCTAGAATGCTTTTGAAACCCTGTGTCTTTTATTTTTTACAGGGCTTCTGATTCTGTTGGAGAAATGATTCCTGCCTTCCTTGGTTCTCTTTCACACTCTACCTGTGGAGACATTTCAGATGCTTGGCCGCTTATGCAAAATTCAGCTTGCTGTGACAGCATCTCTTTCTGTGAATCATATTCAGAACTGGCTGGAGGAGCCCCATGTTCCTGCAGTCCTGAGACTGAAAATGCAGGCACTGTTGATTCGGATAATGACCAGGAACTAAGTGATGTACTTATTGCAGCTAAGTCTCACGATGGAAACATTGTAAAGTCCTTTGAAATCTCCAAACATAGAACATATATAGAGTTTTCATCTCTTCAGAATTCAGTGGCTGCTGAAAAGTCTCCAAAGACAAAGCACAATGGAGCAACAAACAACTCCACAGACTAATGAAGAGGTAAGAAACACAACTACAAACAACAAGTGAGAATGTAGAAGCCCTCCAGGAATACAGAGCTAGGTAAAATGCTAAAAAACATATATATATATATATAAAATGCTAGGATTATGTTCCTCCACAGGTTGCAAATAACAATTGCTAGAGTAAATTGCATCCTTACAAGAGATTCAACATTTTCACATATTAATTTCATTTACTATATGTAAAAGATGTAATTATTCAAACTGTAATTTTGAGGTAATATAAACGAGAACACAGGGATGAGCCTGTACAGTAATTAGTTTTTATGAGCTTTTTTTTTTCCATTAAATTTCACTGCAAACAATCAGTAGAATAGCCTTATGCCTAAACTACTGTGAAAGGCTAGTTTGTGTTTATGAGGGAACAGAGGAAGAATTGACTGTGTGCAACTTAAAGGAAAAATATGAGACATGGAAGGGATCACCTCAAAATATGCATGAGGCTCCTCCGTGCGGTTTCTACAGAAGAAAGAAAAACAGAAGAGATAATCAAATGCCTTTTAATGCCATCCATATTGGCATTAAATAATCCTTGTCATTCTGTGAATTTGTCCATAGTTTGCCCATAAAATGTAGATGTAATTTAAGGGGAAAAAAAAAAAAAAGCTGTTTTATAATTTTAAGAGTAAACTCAGGTCGCGAGTAAAATGAGAGGGAAAAAAACAACTATCACCACAATAACAATGTAAATGTCATAAAAAGTCCCTCTGCCACTGTGCGATCATTACTTTTTTGGACATTAGTTGTGGCCTGTATTTTAAAAATGGCATTTCCTACTGCTGAAGTAACTTGGAGCAACAAGTAGCTAAGCTGTGAGAGGATCCCAGTGTATGTTACATGCACTCCTTATTACTGAGTGCTAATGTAGAGGGCAAATAATCTCCTATGCATGTACACAGGCACAGGAACAGAAGCAGCTGCTATTAGTGCTAATAATCCACCAAATTTAATTAAGCAAATTATTCTATCTGTAATTATGAACATTTCAGGTCACCTGTGGAAATAAAAAAACTTTCCTTTGATCCTCTTCCATTTAGTTTTAATGCCCCTTTCTTGCTGTTCTTAAATAAGAAGTAGAAAGTAATTAGTATCTAACAAAAATCTGAATGTGCTCACAACATGTAATGCCATAGCTTAATTCTGGGTAAATCAAGCCTTAGCTCTTGTGGTGACATTTTCAAGGGGAGAAAAGGAAGGTGAACAGTACAACATCAAGAATTCTTTCACCATAGATTTCAATAGTGTGTCACCTTAAAATCTACTCCTATTGCTAGAAATATCGATCTTACCCAAGTCACATAACAGCTTTCCAAATATATTATTTATCTTTTATTTTAAAGTTTGGAAAGCTGATGTATTGTTTTTGTCTGAAAGATGATGGATGACGAATGGTCATTAATGTCTATCAATGAGTGTCCATCTGGTCTATAAGCAGTTCTCATAGTTTCATTTTGGTACCTTCCAGTTACCATATTAGGGGATATTCTCTAGGTATAAACCAAAAGCCTAAGTGCCATGAGAATGACTGCAGCCCTCTGCACTCCTATCGCCCTCCTCTTGAGAGTTTCTCAATGAATTTGAATGCTCTCCTGATGTTTTAAGGGAATCTATTTCCATATTAACATGACAAAAAAGTGTGGATTGTTTTGCCAGTTAAACTGAATAACACCTTAAGAGATATGTGATTATTACCATTTAGAATTTTAACAAATGAACAGAACCACAGAAATTAAAAATATCACTAAAAAATAATTTAGATCTCACTGTATTTGTTATGCTGTATATTTTTTTCTTCTGATTCATGTAAGTATAAATATGTAGATATCATTTTTAATTTGAGACTTCAATGTTCATTTCTTAATGTTTCTGTGTCATGATGTATTACTATTGAGAGAGGAGTCTGAGTAAGCAAGTTTTTCTTCATTTTTTTCTTCTTCATGGGCTTCATTGATTCATTTTGTCTTCATACTCAAAATCTACACTGCATCATTTTATATGCATTTTTGATGCAGAAAACCATGATGCAGTAAACAAGGAATAAAGAAGTACTTATTTTTTTAGCATTTAGTCAAGTGTAGAAGTACACACTGGTTTTTTATGAGTTTGTGTAACCATGACTGTTGTTTTCTGTCAGGAAGAAAAGCCATTTCTCTCACCACGAAAACTGAATGCTTCCCTAATGCTCCTCTGCCAGCTCTCATCCAACGTGCTCCGGGCCTCAACCTTCCATGGATCCACAATCAGATGGAAAAATCGGCAGCGTTTCCCACCTTCCAAGCTTCTGTTCCTTCTGATTCTCACAAAGCCTACTGGAATGAATTCGAAAGGATGTGTAAATACAGCACGCAATGAGCAAATCTGAGTATGTTTGGATGGGTGACTTAGATGTGGCTGCAAATGCAGGCGGGGGACAAGACTGCCAGTTTCTTGCTTGCAAATGTCTGCATGCATTAGGATTTTTTGGGCTGGTTCTGATTTTAACTCAGCTTCCTCCTGTTGAAGGAGTGAGAAATGAAACATTTCTATTTAGGCAAGGATCATCTGTTGAGAAACTGAAGCTTTTGTTATGTATTACATTATAGTCAATAAGCTAGTTTGGGGAGTAAAAGAATTTGCATGTTACAATATATATGGTTGAAGTCCCCTCTGGCCAATTATTAAACTTGTGGGAGGGGACATTGTTTTATTTAATATAGCAGGAGATTAGCTTCAAATTAGATTTAGTTTAATGATTTTTTTGTTTAATTGGTAGGCTCAGTATTGGAAGACAGCTCTTGTTGTTATAGCATGTATTCTTTGGAAGCTGGAGTGATAATCATGTCACACCAAAATGGCAAACTATAGCAGGTGTGCCATGGAAGTATGCATAAAATGAGAGCTGTTACTATTTTTTATAGTAATGGATTCTTTTCAAGGGTCAAGCTTCATGTTGACCTAATCCTTTCACTCAACAGGCCTTTTCTCATTCATTTCACTCTCTCTTCCTCACTGTCGTATTTTCCATAAATCTGCTTTTTCCACACAAAATACAAAAATTTTGTAACTTTTTTTCAAAATGCCTCTGAATTGAATCCTCAGCTTAGGCACATGACTAGGAAATTATTAGTTTTCTGCCCTAATTGTCGTTCACATTTTTTTAACTGCAGTTTGTCACACCATATTCTCCATAGTCTTTTGTTCTGCAGACATTTTTTAAATTAAAATAGTGTTCACTTCTGTGAGTAAATCTGTAACCTCTACTGAACGTTGCATTCAAGAGGCTCAAGTCTGTCAGTGAACTCTGCCAAATATTCTGGAAAGCTCCCAAGGTGCCTTGATAAAAGCAAAGCAATCAGCAGAGCAAATGCAAGTTTACAAGCAATACTGCACACCTTCCAACCATGGCTTGCATAGCAGTGCAATTGATAGGATGTGCAAATCTTATCACAAATATGTGATTCATATGTGCAAAAATCATGAATAACAATCACCACATCTGAATCAAATAAGTGAATAAATTATAAAAATGATATTTTTATGTGGTAAACACTGCCTTTTGATTACTGATGTAGCAGAAAAAATATGCAGCTGTACAATTATTCAACTCTACATACCTTAAAGGATATATATGAATAAAATTAGTTTTCAATAGTTTCTGTGGATACTTTCATACATTTTAGAAATAACAAAATACTATTTTCACTACATTTGCATGAAGAGATGTGTGCTTTGACATTTGTCATGTGTGCTTTGTATATAACCTGTAAATAGGAAAAATCCAATGTGCATTTCAGTATATGGCAAGATCTTTTTAGAACATGTGGAGATGAAACTTTTCATTAATAACAGTTATTTAAAATACTGTGTTCAAACACTTTGCCAGCACCTGCCACAGTCAGTATGTTTTCCCATTGGAATTTACACTTTGTCTAACTTTTTTTTGACCAGCAGCTCTAGATAAAACATTCATTCTTTTAATGAGTGACACACAGCTTGAAAGCAGACTGGGAGGAAAAATGAAGAGTGCTTTTTAAATATGTATGTATATTGTGTATATACTTTTTTTTCTTAATTTAACCAAATTGGTCTTTTTTATATTGCCTGTGGCAAGCAATGTTGTATATGCCAATAGAAAACATAGGCTACCACCACATTTATACTGTCTGCATGTCACTTCCAGGGGCTTACAGTGCTGTTACAAATGCTCCTTTAAAGAATCTAAATTAAAGTCATGTATAAATCATTTTGTAATACTTTTTCTACTTGCGAATAAAATGTTAAATGAATCTCTCTTGGTTTGTTGATTTCAAATTAATAATAATCTATACAAAGATAGTGATCAGGTCTTTAAATGCTTTCAGGTCTTTAAATGCAGAATTCCCTACTGATTTAATTACAGGCCACTATCAAACCTGCTATGATTTGGTCCAGCCTTGGTTTGAGGTGCATGTTGTTTAACTTGTAGCAACATTCTCCAAGCTACGGGACCTCGAAGAAGCAGTAACTTAACACCAGTTCTTAGAGTCATGGTACTGAAAAACCTTTTCAAAAATTTCCTTCTCAATGAAAAAAATAATCCGGTGAGCAGCACCAGTTGCTTTCTATGTAACTCTTTAAACAAAAACAACAACAAAGTCCTCCATGTGCTAGACTTCTCCCGACAAGGTATGGAAATGATGAGAAAAGCTGCGTTTTAGACAACAGCAGAGGATGCCCGGCTGGTCATCGCAACCGTGCCGAGTTGCAGTGCAGCAGGTCAGAGCGTGATCAAGCCTTGGCTGAAGAAATGGAGCACGAGGCAACACAAACAGGGATTATTAAGAAGGGATTGACATGGTTTAACTGACTGAGAAGAAAGAGAAACTCAGGATTTGATGAGTGCATGTGAGTCAGTGATTCCTTATGGCAAAGACATAAGCGCAGTGCCTGGGAGCTGGATCCAGGGGATGGTGTTAGGTAATACAAAAACAGCTTGTCTGTGGGAGAAAATTTATAGCTTTTTTTCGATGGGAAATCTCAAATAAAATTGAAAGATGCTCCCTGTCTCTTGGCAGGGCCTACTTTATGCTAGCGCATTTAGGTTAGTTCTTTTCCATGTGTCACTTTCCCCAGTCTTTTATATAGGTAATTTAGAGCTTACCTGCAACAGGAAGGGGTCCTGGATTTATCCTTAAAGAAAAAAAAAAAAAAGAAAGAACGAAAGAAAAGACACTGCAATACTGAGACCCACACAAGCAAAAATAGATAAAAATAAGCAGAAGTTACAGGCACTTCAGCTGTATGTGAACACCAACCAACTCATGTTTTCAAACATGTTCAAATAGATTTCAATTCTTTCCTTACCTACAGAAAACTGATTAGCGACTATGCAACAAAATAGTCTGATCATGTAATGTGCAAAGCACCGACAAGTTTGCTGGGTTTGTAGCCATGATAAACTTCAAAAAACTGTTAGCAAAACTTAAGTGACAGAGGCTTAAGTTAGTGTTTGACTTTGCATTTACTCTGAATAAAGGTTGTGAGCGCCGTCATCTACGACAGCTCAACCCTCCCATAAGGACTTGTTAATCTGAACTAACGCAGTGGCGCAGGAGGCTGAGCTGTCTCAAGTGTGCACATTTTTATTTGTCAGGTGGCACCCTGAAGAAGACATAACCTAGAGACGGCTGGAGAATGTCTAAAACCTGCAGTGGATGATATTAAAGCCAACACCAACAACTGCTGGCTATAAACTTAGCCGCAGCGCAAGGGCCTGTAAGATCCCGAGGAGCCGAACAGGCTGCCTCCGTGGGCCCTTGAGCACCCAAGGGGGTTATGACCACACGCACAGTGATGCACAGTCAGGACAGCAGGTCAGTAGTTGGGCCGGGAGGGTGGCTTGATGGAGGGGCTGAGCTCGCCCAAAGGCCTCGTGCGGCTTGTGAACCTGCAGAGCAGTTCGTGTTGCTTCAGTTCATTTTTATCTGCTCATATTGCCAAAGAGAGCTTTGTGACCAAAAGGAATGGAAAAAGCAGGCATTTTTACTATTTTATTTGGAGACAAAAAAAGTAGACAAAAAAACACACAATGCAAAACAAACAGCAAGAACATATGCGATTCTAAGATTTTAATAGACTTTGGCCATATCAGATATAACCACAAAGCCATTAGCAAGACTGAATTTTTTGTTGTTTGACTGACTTTCTAAGCGAAGTCTGCAGAAGAAAATGTCCCCGCAAAAGGCTGTTTACCTGCTTGTGTTCCTTCTCAGGAGCCTGATGTCTCCTGCCTTTTCTGCACGGTAGCCCGTGCTCTGACTCTAACACTCCTCCTCCTAGCACACGTTTCCCGCAGTGTGGCTTTGCCTTTTGTGGCGGGCTCTTGGAGGGCGCTGCTTTTGCATTCCTGGGCAGTCCCTCCAAGCAACAACCCTCATGCATGACATTAATCCCCTTGCGGGCTTTGAGGACGCCCGCCCGGAGGCCGCTGCTCTGGTTGGTGTTGCAGAAAGCAGGGCCCTGCCCCGGGGAGGGCAGACGCGGCGCCGGACAGGGGTGCGCTGGGCGGCAAAGCCGCGCGCGGTGCCCACGCGGCGCCGTTTAACGTGTCCTGGCTTTCAGCATGAGCGTTGGTAAAACCCGCGTGGTCGTCGTTGCATAGGAGCCTCTTTGATGATGTCCAATAGGTTGGTGCCTTCAATAGGCTGGAATAAGAGTGGGGGGATTTGCTAGTGATCCTGCTGGGTTTCACAGCAGCCCTGAATGGGGGGATTAGTGGAAATGTTTTCTAATAGTCCACAGGCAGAGAGGGTGGTGGAGTGAGGGCCTACTACAGCGTCAAGCAAGTGACACAGCTTCAACAGTAGGGTCATTTTGGCACCATTTCCATTTTCCCATCATTTGATTTCATAAATTCTTCCTTAACACCGTTGGATTTTTTTTTTCCTTGATATGACAAAGGGAGTTTTGGAATGGTCAAAAGTTTATAAATGACATTCTTCTAAAGCATTGGTGGAAAAGTAGGCAAAAAAAAAAAGAGAGAAAAAAAAAAAAAAGACTACAGCTTTGAAAAAGTGCTTACTGTGAGCCTGAGTCTCTGTGAAGATATTTCTTCACCCCCGTTTCAGTTTACAGATGGACAAGCAACATGCTGAATATGCAAAATTTTCCCCATGTATATGAAATAAATCTGAAATCCTTCAAGTAATCAACAGTTTAAGGGAGAGCACCGAATTAACTTAGAAGAAAATAAATCATTGTAAA